GAGATCGGCTGAATGGATTCGAAAACTGTAAAACTCAACTGTTTTAACTCTAGGGGAGATGGAAAATTATCCAGTTTTCAAAAGTAGTGGAGTTCCTTTTAAACCACATATGATGATTTAAAGGGACTTAATACTGAAACGTGATGTGAGCTTTCATATTGATTCTGATGCTGGTTTAAGGGGATAAAAGGCTGTTTCTTTGTCTTGGTTTGGCGAACTAACTTTGCTATAAATTTTCAGGTTTCAGTCTCTTCTTGGGCAACTTAAACTCCAATAAAGACTTTGATGAAAGTAAGTCCGCAATCACAAAGTTCTTCTCAAAGGAAGGCCTTGAAATTCAGGACGTCCGACTTGGTGGTAGCAAGTAAGGAGAAAGTTGTTGCATATCATCTTTAAGTCTGTTTTGTCGTTGTAAAGGAGTTGTGACTTGATTTTGACTCCTAATTCAAGCTTCTTAATGTCTTCTGAAGGAAATTTGGCTATGTCGACTTTGCGTCAGAGGAAGAGCTGCAGAAGGCTTTGGGGCTCAATGGCAAGAAGCTGATGGGCCTACCGGTGAAACTCGACAAAGCCCGAAGCAAAGAAAACTCCCTGGAAAACAAGAAAGGTAACATCCCTCAGCTATTGCTTTGAATGTGAATCCAACCAGAAATGATGACCGCTTTTCACTTTCCCGAACTCCCGTGTGGGTGTAAGATAGTCAAGTGCTGATCTGGAGCCGCTGCTTATGTGGTACGGCAAACATGGCGCTCGCAGACGCCAATGTTTTATCGGTTGTCTTTCCTCAGAGAGAGATTCACGCACTTTGTTCGTAAAGAACCTGCCGTACTCCATAACGCAGGAGGAACTGCAGGAAGTCTTTGACCAGGCTACTGATATTAGGATACCGATGGGCAGCAACGGTTCTAGTAGAGGGTAAGACTAAGCCATGGCTGTTTGCATTATTAACAATGCGTCTTTTAAAGGAATTCTTGACTGATGTTCTCTTTGGGTACAGCATCGCATACCTGGAGTTCAAGTCTGAGGCGATCGCTGAGAAGACTATGGAGGAGGCGCAAGGGTCAGATGTTCAGGGCCGATCCATCATCGTAGACTTCACCGGAGAAAAGAGTCGGCAGGGTGGCAGAGGTGAGCGATAACTAGGTGCAGTTTTGTTCGGTTTGACTGAGTTTTATTATGAATGTTAACGGAATGTCTTGTTTTCTGCTCATTTAGCCGCTGGTTCTACAAGCAAAGTCCTGGTTGTAAACAACCTATCGTTCAGCGCGACTGAAGAGGCCCTCCAGAGTGTGTTTGAGAAGGCCGTGTCCATCAGAATACCGCAGAACAACGGCAGACCGAAGGGGTACGTCCGGTGCTTCATTAATGCAATCAGAGATGTGTAGACGAGTTGATTAGGTCTGTAGGATGATTTGATCGTAAAATAAGGCTCGTCAAAGTATTTGGCCTAAATGGCCTTTGCGGTTGAATCGAGATTAAAATGTTTGTCCTTTTTTGACACCTGGAATAATGTTCTGCCATTTGCTGTTTAGCAAAATAATTTGTTCTGAGTGCCACCAAGTTGCAGTTTTATGCAATGGTGGCAACCAAAAAGCTTGAATCTTACTGGTTTTGTCAGTTTTCTTTTTTTTTTTTAATAGGTTTATTTATTGTAATTTCCATTCAAATGCAAAAAACTGTTGGCGACATGCAAATTTGTGTTGGCGTTTAACAGCCGTTTGCTCGAATTAAAATTTCACTAATTTGTTGCGTGAACAGGCCATAACCATTTAAATTGGTTACGCTATTAAAATTATGCCCCCATACCCAACTATCATCCCTGAATATAGCCACATTCAAGTGTCAAGTGTTTTTGCTGTGCTGACTTTGCTTTGGTCTATTTTTTTTTTTTTTTTTCC